AAACCATTTCCACTAAGATCAGGAACAAGACAAGGTTGCCCACACTCACCACTATTACTCAACATAATTTTGGAAGTTTTAGCCACAGCAATCAGAGAAGAAAGAGAAATAAAAGGAATCCAAATCAGAAAAGAACAAGTAAAGCTGTCACTGTTTGCAGATGACATGATACTATACATAGAGAATCCTAAAGATGCTACCAATAAACTACTAGAGCTAATCAATGAATCTGGTAATGTAGCAGGATACAAAATTAATGCACAACAATCTCTTGCATTCCTATACACTAATGATGAAAAATCTGAAAGAGAAATGAAGGAAACACTCCCATTTACCACTGCAACAAAAAGAATAAAATACCAAGGAATAAACCTACCTAAGGAGACAAAAGCCCTGTATGCAGAAAACTATAAGACTCATTAAAGAAATTAAAGATGATACAAACAGATGGAGTGATATACCATGTGCTTGGATTGGAAGAATCAACATTGTCAAAATGACTATACTACCCAAGCAATCTACAGATTGAATGCAATCCCTATCAAACTACCAAAGGCATTTTTCACAGAACTAGAACAAAAAATTTCACAACTTGTATGGAAACACAAAAGACCCCGAATAGCCAGAGTAATCTTAAGAAAAGCAGAGCTGGAGGCATCAGTCTCCCGGACTTCAGACTATACAAAGCTACAGTAATCAAGACAGTATGGTACTGGCACAAAAACAGAAATAGACATCAATACAACAGGATAGAAAGCCCAGAGATAAACCCATGCACATATGGTCACCTTATTTTTGATAAAGGAGGCAAGAATATACAATGGAGAAAAGACAGCCTCTTCAATAAGCGGTGCTGGGAAAACTGGACAGCTACATGTAAAAGAATGAATTAGAACACTCCCTAACACCATACACAAAAACAAACTCAAAATGGAGTAAAGACCTAAATGTAAGGCCAGACACTATAAAACTCTTAGAGGAAAACATATGCAGAACACTCTGTGACATAAATCAAAGCAAGATCCTTTTTGACCCACCTCCTAGAGAAATGGAAATAAAAACAAATAAATGGGACCTAATGAAACTTAAAAGCTTCTGCACAGCAAAGGAAACCATAAGATGAAAAAACCCTCAGAATCGGAGAAAATATTTGCAAATGAAGCAACTGACAAAGGATTAATCTCCAAAATTTACAAGCAGCTCATGCAGCTCAATATCAAAAAACAAACAACCCAATCCAAAAATGGGCAGAAGACCTAAATAGACATTTCTCCAATGAAGATATACAGATTGCCCACAAACACATGAAAGAATGCTCAACATCATTAATCATTAGAGAAATGCAAATCAAAACTACAATGAGAGCTTCCCTGGTGGCACCGTGGTTGAGAGTCCACCTGCCGATGCAGGGGACATGGGTTCGTGCCCCGGTCCAGGAAGATCCCACATGCCGTGGAGCAGCTAGGCCCGTGAGCCATGGCTGCTGAGCCTGTGCATCCGGAGCCTGTGCTCCACAACGGGAGAGGCCACAACAGTGAGAGGCCCGCATAACCCCCCCACCAAAAAAAATACTACAATGAGATATCATCTCACACCAGTCAGAATGGCCATCATCAAAAAATCTAGAAACAATAAATGCTGGAGAGGGTGTGGAGAAAAGGGAACACTCTTGCACTGTTGGTGGGAATGTAAATTGATACAGCCACTATGGAGAACAGTACGGAGGTTCCTTAAAAAACTACAAATAGAACTACCATACGACACAGCAATCCCACTCCTGGGCATATACCCTGAGAAAACCATAATTCAAAAAGAGTCATGTACCAATGTGTTCATTGTAGCTCTATTTACAATAACCAGGACATGGAAGCAACCTAAGTGTCCATCAACAGATGAATGGATAAAGAAGATGCGGCACATATACACAATGGAATATTAATCAGCCATAAAAAGAAATGAAATTGAGTTATTTGTAGTGAGGTGGATCGACCTAGAGTCTGTCATACAGAGTGAAGTATGTCAGAAAGAGAAAAACAAATACCGTATGCTAACACATATATATGGAATCTAAGGGAAAAAAAAAGTCATGAAGAACCTAGGGGTAATACGGGAATAAAGACACAGACCTACTAGAGCATGGACTTGAGGATATGGGGAGGGGGAAGGGTAGGCTGTGACAAAGTGAGAGAGTGGCATGGACATATATACACTACCAAACGTAAAATAGATAGCTAGTGGGAAGCAGCCGCATAGCACAGGGAGATCAGCTGGGTGGTTTGTGACCACCTAGAGGGGTGGGATAGGGACGGTGCGAGGGAGGGAGACGCAAGAGGGAAGAGATATGGGAACATATGTATATGTATAACTGATTCACTTTGTTATAAAGCAGAAACTAACACACCATTGTAAAGCAATTATACTCCAATAAAGATGTTAAAAAAAAAAAGCCTTAAAAAAAAGTCTACAAACAATAAATGCTGGAAAGCATGTGGTGAAAAAGGAACCCTCTTGCACTGTTGGTGGGAATGTCAATTGATACACCCACTATGGAGAACAGTATGGTGGTTCCTTACAAAACTATAAATAGAACTACCATACAACCCAGCAATCCCACTCCTGGGCATATACCCTGAGAAAACCATAATTCAAAAAGAGGCATGTACCACAATGTTCATTGCAGCACTGTTTACAATAGCCAGGACATGGAAGCAACCTAAGTGTCCATTGACAGATGAATAGATAAAGAAGATGTGGCAAATATATACAATGGAATATTACTTAGCCATGAAAAGAAACAAAATTGAGTTATTTGTAGTGAAGTGGATGGACCTAGTGTCTGTCGTACAGAGTGATGTAAGTCAGAAAAAGAAAATCAAATACTGTATGCTAACACATATATATGGAATCTAAAACAAAAGCGTTCTGAAGAACCTAGGGGCAGGACAGGAATAAAGACGCAGATGTAGAGAATGGACTTGAGGACATAGGGAGGGGGAAGTGTAAGCTGGAACAAAATGAGAGAGTGGCATGGACATATATACACTACCAAATGTAAAGTAGCTAGTAGGAAGCTCTGTGCTTTGTGTCCTCCTAGAGGGGTGGGAGAGGGAGCGTGGGAGGGAGATGCAAGAGGGAGGAGATAGGGGAATATATGTATACATATAGCTGGTTCACTTTGTGATACAGCAGAAACTAACACACCATTGTAAAGCAATTATACTGCAATAAAGATGTTAAAGAAAAAAATTAAACATCCTTTAAGAGCCAGAAATTTTTCCTTCTAAAACATCAACTCTACTTTGAATAACAAGACAATCTGAAACCCCTATTTCATGTCCTCCTGAGTGGTTATTAGCATAGAAATTGTGTGCTGCCTCTAGTATGCATGTATTTTTCACTTTTAAATTTAATTTCTTTAAAATGAAATCAGGTATCCTGAAATTAACTCAAGTTCTGTAGTCAGACTTGCACTCAAATTCTGTGATTGACTCAGTCCAGTTCCTTCAGAAAGCAGAACTGGGGAAAAGACTAAAGTTCTGACTTCTTATATGGGGTGTGCAGATGAAGAAGAAAGGAATGAAAAAACCTGTGATGTGATACATTACCAAGCTGGCTGCTACACACGACAAGTTGTGAAAAGAAAAAGTGTGTTAAGCAGGAAGTGTGTTCCCTTGGCACGTAGGGCTTCTCTTGAAGAGTTACAAAGGAAACAAAAATTAGAGTAGTCCACTGAGGGTGAGGGGAAAGGGTGGGGATTAAGATCATCTTCCTCCCTTCCCTCATCCCCATTGGTCAGTCCTTATCCCATGTGGACTTAATCACCCTGCATTTCCACATTAGGTCATCTGACTCCAGCAGACACTCAGGAGGCCAGATCCCATGCCCCAAAGTGTGTGTTTCATCTTACATTCGTTTTCTATTGCTGCATATCACATTACCACAGCTTAGCCTCTTAAAACACAATTAGGTTTATCTTACAGTTTCTGTGGTTTGTCTGCCCAGGGTGTACATAAGGCTGAAATTAAGGTGTCAGACAGCTGCATCCATACCTCAAGGACAGACAAGGGAAAGATCTACTTCCATGCTCCACTGGCTTGTTGACAGAGTTCATTTCTTTGCCATGTAACTGAGGTCTCTCTTCTTGCTAGCTGTTAGTGGGGGACCAATTCAGTTCCCGGCGGCCTCTCCTGGAACTTTGCTGAGTTGCCCTCCTCACAGCTTGGCAGTCCGTTCCCTCAAGCCTGCAGAAGGATCTCTGATGCCCTATCTTCTCTTAAACATCAAGCCCACACAGAGTAATTTCCCTTTTGATTAATTCCAAAAAAATCAGTGGATGAATAACTTAATCATGGGAATCATACCCCATCATAGTCACAGGTTCTTCCCACACTCAAAAGGAGGGTACTACACAGGGCATGTAAATAAGGGACAGAATCTTAGAATTCTGCCTGCCACAACCCAATTCTAAAAGTGAGAGGTTAACCAGGTGTTGCCAGGGCATGAAACGAGAGAAAAGAGGAAGTCAGGGGACATGAAAACATAAAAGTTTTGTCTCAATACATTGACCCTGGTCAATTTTCTCTTGTATTTTCTCCATGTGAAAAATTGGGAAAATGAAGCTAAAAACTTATATCATTTCGTGGAAGTATTAATGTTAGAGTGCCTATTAGTTATCATTTTTTCCTATTTCCTCAGTGTCAGACACTCAGCTATGCACTCCACACGCATTCATATTTTACTTCCTATTTTTTGTTTTTGTGAGGACTACTTGATTGTTTTATTCATAATGAATCTCACTTTCTACTAGACTATGCTAAGTGGCATCTCTATAAAGTCAGTCTTTACTGAGAACTTCATGGATAACTTCATTAAAAAGTTCATGTTGACTTACTTCACTCTGTATGACAGGCTCTAGGTCCATCCACCTCGCTACAAATAGCTCAATTTCGTTTCTTTTTATGGCTGAGTAATAGTCCATTGCATATACGTGCCACATCTTCTTTAACCATTCATCTGTCGACGGACACTTAGGTTGCTTCTATGTCCTGGCAACTGTAAAGAGTGCTGCGATGCAACATTGTGGTGGGAAGCTGCTGCATAGCACAGGGAGGTCAGCCCGGTGCTTTGCGACCACCTAGAGGGGTGGGATAAGGAGGGTGGGAGGGAGACGCAAGAGGGAGGGGCCATGGGGATAAATGCATGCATATAGCTGACTCACTCCGCTATACAGCAGAAACCAACACACCAGTGTTAAGCATCACACTACAATAAAGATGTTAAAAAAAAAAGGTCATGCTGTTCACCATCGTGTTTAACTTTAAAGTGTAACAACACCCGTCTATTTACGAGTAGGCAATCCTGAAATCTGGGTCCACTTCATCCATCCATTTACTCCCCAACATCGTCGGCTGCAGTCCCACCGACGGCCGCCAGGGCGGCCTCCCCGTTCGCCTCCTACGTGGAACCTCGGGACCCGCACAGCCCGTGACGTGCGCCCGGGACATAGGTGTAGACGGCGAACAAAAGCCGAGTCCTGCCGCCCAGGTGGCTCCTTGGTCGCAACTCGCCCGGCCCGACCGGGCCCAGCCCGGCCGGCACCTGCGTTCCCTCCCGCCACGGGGACGGGCCGTCCGCCTCGGGGCCAACGAGGGCAGAGGCCCAGGGGCTGGGACGCGGCGGCGCCGCCGGGGACGGCCCAGCCCTTCCGACAGGCGGGCGCCCGGCTCGGGGACCCGCAGCCGCCTCCATCTTGGCCAGCGGAGGCGGGAGCGGCGTCTGGCCCGGGCCTGTCGCGCCAGCCGGGGCCAGGTGCGGAGCCGGCAGCGGGAGCCGTCCCGGCGGCCGGGCGGCGGGGCCCAGCCCGGGCTTCCCGGGACGAGTCAGAGTTGCCCCCAGTTCCCCCCGCGGCCCCGACAAGATGGAGGACGTAGTCTACTCCCGCAGCCATGACGGGAGCGAGGGACGCCTCCCCACGGGGCTGAGGCGAGGGGAAGCGCTTCCAGCCTTCGGAGCGCGCGGGCCCCCCTGCCGCCGGCCTCCCGGCCCCCGGCTCCCGCCCGCGTCGCCGTAGCCCCTGCCCGCTCGGCCCTCACGGGGCTCCCAGACACTGGACAGGGAGGGCGTGGGGGACATCGAGGCCGTGGCGCTCCTCGGGCGGCGTCGCTCGCGGCCGCTGCAGGGTCAGGCGGTCCGGCTTAGGCCCTCGGGCCGCCCGGCCCCGATAGCTCTCGGCCCCCAGGGGCCGAACCGAGGCGGGTGCAGCGGGGACGGCAGTCAGCGGCCCGACCCTAACGGGCAGGGCCCTAACTACTTCCTATTCTGACAAACCAGTGAGCTTGGTCTTCAAAGCCTCATTTTGTGGAAGAAGCTATCCACCTTGTTGTTACTGCCTATATATCATGTAACATACTTAGTGTAGTGTCTCACATAAAAGCCTATTTTAAATGGTGGCTATTATTTTAGGAGTTGTATAAGTATTTTTGGTGAAACCATACTTTTGTATTTGTATAAAATTTAAGCCATATGGCTAACAGGAATCCTCATGCTTCCCCCCAGAGTGGAAGGAATAAATTAGGCAAACACACATAAAGACTTCTTTAACTAAAACTATCTTTTGGCTATTTGTGTTACTATTTTAAGTCCTGAACTTCAGTGAAGGAATAACAGCTTAACTTTACTGAGTGTGTATGTGCATAAGTGAGTGTGTTTGTCTAAGCGTGTGAGAATCCAGCAAATGCGTACTATCTTTAAGAGTAGAGGTAGGTGCAAGAAAACCTTATATTTTTTCCCCTTGATCCTACCAGAACTGAAGAACAGGCTACTTACAGCATTACTGTCAAAAGGATTAACAAAGTATATCATCAAAAGATGCAAATTCAAAATTAAAAAATTTTCTTCTAATTATAGAACTGCTGTTATTTTCACCCATTATCTCCCTGTCCTCCACCGGCCAGGATTTTTTCTTTCTTTTTTTTTTTTAAACCAGCTTATCTTCCCTATGTCCCTGTCTGTCTTCCTTTCTTCTCCTTGCCTTAGGTATTGTCCTGAAAATGAAGGGAAAACAAAATACTAAAAGGACCAGATTACAGGAATGAACTACAAAGGCAAATTTTACTTTAGCAATATTCCTGCCAGAGAGAATTATTACAGTCTAGTGCCTCTTAGTCATTTTCAAGTACATGTATCCAGTCCCCAAACAGAACGTATACAAAAATGAAACCTATGAGATTCAACTCTATCCATCAGTTTTAGCTAAATTACACTGTGATAACAAGCAACCCTCAAAAATCTTGGTATCCTACAACAGCAGAGGTTTATTTCTCACTCAGTTTGTATTTTCAACATGAGTCAGCTGTGGCTCTGTTCCATGAATCTTTAAGTCAAGATCAGACTGATACAGGAAACCCCTAACTAGAATGTTTCTCATCTTGTGGGGAGAGGAAAAGGCGGCCAAATCACAGACCATGCAATGATTCTTAAAGTTTGTATTCAGAAGTGAAACGTAATTTTCACTCATTAACCATTTCACTTCATTGCAGTGCACATAGCCAAGCCTGATATCAAAGGAGCAGGTAGTGATATATAGTCCTTCCTTACGGGGACAGCAGCAAATATTTTGAACGATAGACTCTACCACGGTAATTTACATAATGCCACAAAGGTAAATTATTCCACCATCCTCAAAGTAGAAGTAACATCACATTTCTTTGTGTATCACCAATGAAATGATGCCCCAAATGCAGGGTTTTGGACTTTCCACCAATCTGGGTACACAGGCTCCTTGAGCTTGGTCTGTTTCTATTTATGTAAAATCTGCAATGATAAAAGAAGACATAGCCCAGCTGCAAAAGGTGCAACTCCCAGGAGCAACGGCTATAACAACTGTGGGATGCAACCTCTCTGTCTAGCATTATTTATTAGTCTAGTGTCTTACACACCCAGATGGTCATTTTGTGTCTAGCATGGTCCATTCAAAGTCAGACAATTCTGCTATCAGCTTCACTCTCTTTATGCAAGCTTATACATAGGGGATATTAAAACTATGTCACAAAACACTTAATATCCAGCTTACAGATACACAGGTAGCCAAACACTCTTGTGATACAGCCACCTCTAAGGTGCTGGTTTCAAGCAGGCTTAAGTCTACCAGTTTACCTATATAATGTGGTACTGTAGTGTGATTTTTTTCCCCCCAATCTGAGGAACTCAATATCACAGCAAGAGTAGGGATGCACTCCTTGCAGCACTATTCCTTTCTGTTTCTGGAAATATACCTCTTAATTTTCAATGAGGCTTGTAGTAGATACTGTGCTGTATCACCTTCAGGACCAAGGCACTCATTCCCACAGCAACAAGGTGTGTTGGCTACTGAAGGCTCACAGCTGTGCCCCATCCAGGTTGCCCTTGACTGAAGAAAGCTACAAATATTGCTCCTCCCTCAGGGCAATCCACATCCAATAATTTGTTGATGTGCTGATACAAAAGACTGTCCCCTTCAGCACCTAAATTGGGAAACCACCGAAGGGCCTAGTTTTAGAGTTCCCCACAATATTGGCCGAAGCTGCTGTTGCAACTGCATCGCAGTTCAGGTTCTCCCTCAGCCCAATTCTACATTCATTGTTCCCTCAAAGATATTGATCCAGAGATCATACACAAACGTATGAAAATACCGATGTCTCAGAGTCTGTTTCCCAGGGAACCTGATCTGCAGTGGTTGGTCTGGAAATGATCCTACAAATCAGACTCTCAAATGGATTTTGGAGTTGAATCACCAGGAAAGAGGAGGCCATTATTGGTAGGAGGAGTATAGACAGCCCCTGGCTTGCTGTAATGACGCAATTGTTCAAGAACTCTTATGGGTGATAAACTGGAATGGACTTTCAGTAGAAGGGAATGCACTGTCGGGTGCCACACACAAGGCAGCTGAGAAGTACAGGGAAAGTAGTTATTACCAAGAGTACGGAATTGGCTGGCTGTTGCCGAGTGTACCCAACGCACTAAAGAAAGCAGTGAGACGCTAAGTATCATTAATCACCAATTTAAGGCAAAACTGGAAAGCCAGAGGCCCTTGTTGGCAACATATAAAGAGATTCGTACCACCTGAAGGCAGAGAACAGAAAAAACTAAGGATTGGGCCCAGGTCTCAATTATAATAAAAGAGTAGAAGAGCTCCAAAGGGGGTTGAATTCTCAGCCTCAGCAACTCTTCTATTGCTAAGAGAGTATATCTTAAAAGCTCTCAACACATGAAAAAAAGCTGTTACCATGTGAGGTGATGGATATTAAGTAAACTTCCTGCGGTGATCATTTCACAATATATACATACATCAAATCATTATGTTGTACACCTAGAACGAATATTACACGTCAATTACATCTCAATTTAAAAAAAGAAAAGAAATGTCTTCTACTTCAAGAACAGGCTCTTGAGAAATAGTCAATCCTGCAGCAGGAAGAAACACCAACCCAAGTTCAATCCTCAAAGAATGGTCATATTACATCAAATTTATCAAGTTATCTTGCTATATTATATTTCATTTCAGCACAACACGGACAGAGAAACATATCCATGGAGATAAATTAATTAGGAAAATCCAAACGAGAAACCTGAGCTTTGAAACAAAAATAAATATACCAGCAGTAGTCAAAGTCTGTAGGTTAGTTGAGGACTCAAACACCACTATATAAGCTAAATGAAATTGCCTAACTCTCGGTTTATTTTTTGAATAATTGACTAGAGTTAGTAGTGTAACCGTAGGACAAAAACACACGTAACCTTTCAATGCATATGCCTCAGGTTACAAAATGTAATGGATTAGAGTATGAACATGTAACTCTAATCAGTCCTAAGTGTATTGGGGAAGGAGGGAGAGCAGGGAAAGGAGGAGGGAGAGGGACATAAATAGATTTAGTATTTCTCAGTTTCTTCCCCAAAGATATAAGACACCCCTCATCCCATCTCCTTGGGAGATGTGCCTTGGTATCTCAACAGGACCGTCCAATGCTTTTCTATGTTTCTTGCTCTCTCTCTGTCCAAGTTTTTCTCGTTCTTCAAACCTCAGGAGTAGCTGGCTAGGAAGAAGATTATCTTTTCCCCTAATGGAAAAGATTAGCATCTCAGCGATAAGTTTTCCCATCCCTTTCCTTTCTATTTCCAAACTAGGGAACTCCTTTACAGAGTCAACTTGTTTTTCAGCCCAGACCACAATTGTTTTGTCTCATATCTTCCTTCTAGAACTTAGAATATTTTTTCAGGAAGAATGGTAATTATTATATTTTCCTTATACATTTTACTTTCCTTTTGTTGTAAGCTACGTTCTCCGAGAAGCAGACCCTGAGTGAGA